AAAAATAGTTTTTTTTTTAAATTGTAATCAATATGCACAAAGAATCCAGTAAGATTTTGATCAATGTGTGAATGAAATGTGATCTATGAGTTAATTTATATTCACAAAAATATTGTTTTCGAAAAAAATTATTTACTGAAGTTGTACTTTGGTATCAATTTTAATTTTTTTTCAAAATACCGTGTATTACTACTATATCACGAGTTTGTTAGACATTGTTTTAGTAAAATTAACAATGTTAACTAATAGTCTAAGAATGAATGATAAGATATGAATAGTTGAAAAATCATAAGTATGAAAAAGAATTCTATATTTGTGAATCGATCGTTATTAGACTACCATTAGAAACCTGGAATCACTGGAAGGCGATTTCATCCTGATAGGGAACTAGAGCTAGACATAAACACCGTTGGATGGGGTCTCAGTGGTCCAGAGGTTAGGCGTTTACGCTTAAGACCGAAGATCTTGTGTTCAAATATTGTGAGTATCAGGATTCGTGGATACGCACTGCTGATGAATAGTCCCATACCAGGAAGAAACTTACGTACTTCACTTCAAGTTGGTTTGCCATATTAGCACAGAGAGATCAAAATGTCAATTCAACTCCTATAGTAATAGAGGTAGTAGAGGTATTAGCGATAATGGAGAGGATTAGCGTTCCAGATATGATTCCAGAAGTATAATCTAATGACGTAAATTAAATAAAATTAGAATTTGAGAGAACACATGGAATGGAGGCATTTGCATGATTGCTAACAATTTTGAATCATGTCATTCAAAGTGGATAACCATTGTGTGCTGTTGTCTTGCGGACTTCAACTACGTAGTCAATACCTACTTGTCAGTTGTCAGTGACTTCAAGGATTTGTGCTAGTTTTTGGTCTGGTCGCCCATAGCTTTCTTCTTGCCAACTCCTGCATCACAAAACATAACTCATCTAGTCAATAGGTGGTTGAGAAAACTTAAAAAATGTCCCAACCACTTGAACTGATGAACATTCGCTTTTTCATCAACTGATCTGCCATCTTTACCGGTGTCTTAACAACACTGCTTGTACTGTTTTTTAAGGTGATCAGAAGACTCAGAATTTTGTCAGCGTCTTCACTAAACAAAACTATGTCATCAGCATATTCTAAGTCAACAAGCGAGTCTCCTAGGTGATGGTAAACTCCTAAAAAGTTTGGTACACATTTCAATGACAGACACTGCAAAAGAAACTCACGATTGACTGAACCAAATGCTGCCTTAAGGTCCAAAAATAAAAATATTGCCGAACGCTGAAATGTGTCTGTGTTCCAGGACCTGTCAAAGTGTGAATATCTGGTCTATACATCCACGTCTAGGTCTGAAATAGGTCTGGTTTTTCTCAAATATGCTCTAGTTAGGCGTCTAAGTATTATCGACACTATATCAGTTAGAATGATTACTCTGTGATTGTCACAAGGGGAGTTTTGCCCTTCTTACAGACTGGGAAAATCAATGACTGGGAACGTTCGGAAGGGATTACATACAGTCCCTACATTCAACCTAAGATCTCAGTCAGTCTGACTGCTAGAAATGGACCATCACCCTCATAAATCCCAGGGGGAAGCTTTTCAGGGCCTGCTGTTCTCCCTTGCCTTAGATTTCCCACATCATTTTAAACTTCATTGAGTCGGAGGATTTGCATCCATTCGCCATTCAGGTTGACTGGAGATCGTGGGTAACCGAAGTGTGACATCGATCCCATCTTCTGGATTGAGAATGAATAATAAGTCTATCCTTTTATGAGATAATCTCGCTAATACTTGGATTCCTAATACCGGTTTCGCTGATAAGTCTTAACAGTTGTCTACTGTTGCCAATAGCGGCTGCTTTTTCCATCTCTTTTCCTTTCGCAACCTACCACTGTTCGCGAACACCGAATAGGCTTTTTTCAGCTTGTGTTTAGGCTGACTCCATTCCTCATCAAGTTCAGACTCAAATGAGATGAGTTTCTAATCATCTAGCAGTTCAGAGGATGCAACTGAAATCTACTGCTTCTCTATAACCTTAGGGCTTACCTTGCTGGAAGATATCACAGTTATTTCTACAGATATAATTCTTAGTTGCCTCAGGGTGAGCATCACTTACACGGCTGCCTAATTGTTTTTATAGTCGCTACAGAAAAATACTCTTGGATTTTTATCGTTAAGAAGAACTCTTAGGGGTTTCCTTCCTGTCTTTCTTACTTCTAGTAAGCCGTAGAAAAATACGCGAAAATACTAGAGTGTAGTCTGAATCTGCTGCTGAGTATGCGTTAGTCTTCTGTTGAGCCTCTCCACCGGTGACTGACAGCAATGTGGTCTAGTTGTGTCAATTTTGGGGGGTCGCCATGTCAAAAGATGTTTTACCTTATGCTTAAAGTTAATATTTGTTAAAAATAGGCAGTAATCTGAGCAAAGCTTCAGTAGACGGTCTCCATTATCTGTTCTTCGAGCCACGACACCATGAGACCCACCTAGTTGTCTTTCAATAACGCTTAGTCTACCTATTTGAGCTTTAAAGTCACCAACCACTATTACTACATCAAAGCGCCTAACTGTTTGAAGGAGGTTCTGAAGCTTCTTGTAAAATTCATCTTTTACCTCATCTGAGCTGGAATCATTCGAATAGTAGGAAGCGACAACAAAGAGTGTTCCTATTGTAGTGAGTGTACTTTTGTGTCGAGCCCATAGGGCTTGTCTCAGACTTTCGACCCATTCTTATTGGATTATTAACTTGTCTTTTAACCGTTTCCACTATTCGCCCATATCCTTGGTTGTTTTGAATTAGCTATGTATGTGTATGCTAACTTTGCTCATAACATGTTTACCCGACTTTTTGCTGACTATAATCACTTAGTCATAATTCATCTCGCTGAGTTGGCTTACTCGCCTTCTGCACTTTGCCTAAACGCTTTTCATCCTCATGTCTATCTGTATGATCGATGGCCTGTAAATGGAGTCAGATTGCGGGCCTAAAGTGTTGATCCGTACTTTGAATTTAACAGCCACTAAACTATCATTCCGAGTCCTTATTGTCTCATTTAGTTGGACAGAGCATAAACGACTATCTACATGGATACTGACTAAGAGAGCTCGTTCTGCCTCAGATATCAATGCTATACCTACACCAGCGAAGCAACGGGAAGCAGTAGTGGGGCTTCCAGTTACACGAAGCGTAAATTGCGACGGTTTCTTATGTTGACAAGGTGAGATCAAGTGAGTGACTCTACTCGGATCATGTATCCACTTTTCGGAAATGCAGCAAATATCAATGGTGCAAGATTCTAAATTCCGAGATAAAGAAGCCTGTTGTCCTATTTGGCACAATGTTTGAACATTAAAAGCTCCAACACGTAGTTTACAGCGGGATTTCAGACCAGGAATAACGTTTCATGTACTCGAATCGTTTGCACCAGCGGCGCGAGGTGATGAAGGAATAAGATAAGGATTAGTCGATGAGATAAGATCGTTATTAAGAGATGTAGGAGGGATTTCATTGTGAGCATTTTGGTCTCGTGTGCTATTATGGGTATGACAGCGGATGTCACTTACCACTTGCCAACACCATGAAAGGGTATTTCTTGAGGAACTTGCAAACGAAGTTGGATTAGTGTTGGTCTCACAGACCTGGGAGCTTGACGGAAAAGCCCAAGCGACAACTGCTACATATGTTAGTTGTCCAAGGGAAGCATCTTACTGCTGTAACACCTCTCTAGAGTCAGTAGTACGACTTCGCTCTCAGACCTTGGGCTGCATCTTTTAGTCTTACCATTCTCCGATTGACCTGTCTAGCATGGTAGAACCTACAGGAACATATATTCCAGGCATAATAGCTTAGTTGAGTGATGGAGATAGGCAGACCTGACCACCATTTCAAGGTAGCAGTTACAGTCGGTATGAGTAGATAGTGCTCGTAATACATATTTATCTCATCAACCAATTTGCCGTGTTTATCTATTACCTTAACCTTCAAATGGCATTCCTTGCTCGATTATCCAGACAATACATCAATCTTATCTACCATCAAATACTAACAACCTATGAATATTCTATATTTTCGAAATCATAAAGCAAAACAGAACGAACAGTTGTTTAGTATAATCGACCGTAAGTTAGCAGGTAGTATTACACCTTAGTTAAAAATGAATTTATACCGACTGTGAATAAAAAAAAAACGGAACATCACAATCATTCATCAAATTTAATTGTTCATTTTATAAAAGAATGATTACATGTGTTATTATTATTGGTTTAAAAAAAAGTAAGTGTGAAAAAAAATACAAGTAAATCAGTAGAGAGTATTTCGTTTAGTTCAATTTTTTTCAGTTTTGTACTCTTTGTTTAAATGAATCACATATCTATCACACAACCATTGAACAATGAACAAAAATTGAGCATTGAATGTTGTACATTCAAGTGTACAAAATAAAGTCAGTTAATATTTTCTAAACATCATAAATATATATATACATGTATAAATTGTAAAAATAACATAATTCTAGCTTTTAGTGAATATTAAAACCCCAAAAGAATCTTGATATTTTAGTGAAATAATATTAAATTAGATAAAGAAAGTGTAATGTGTGTGTGTGTGTGTGTGTGTGTAATTTCACGTTCAAATGTCAATTATACAAAGGATAATTATTTACATTGAGCATTGAACCAATAAAATCATTCAAACAAAAATGGACAGAACTCATATTTTTTTAAAAAAAAAAAAATAATAATGTGTTCTAATGTTTCTTTTCAGATATTATAAATTGTTCAATTAAATAAGTATTTAATTGTTCCCAATTTTGTGTTAATAACCATTGTGTATGATTAATAAATGATAAATTATGATTAGATAAATCATTTGAACTATGAAATGGATATAATCTATGTGATTGATTCATATAAACAATAGAATTACTATTACTATCATAACTATTATTAGTAGTAACACTATTACTTTTATTAAAAGGATTTGAACGTTTAGTAGAAAATATTGACGATTTAATCATTGGAAGATTTGAACTTTTTTTAGGATTATTATTTTCAATCAATGTAGATGATGATGATGATGATGATTTTTTATTTTTGCTCGTTTGTTTTACTATAGTCAATGCTGTATAATGATCTTCTAAATCTTCAAGAGTTAATCTAATCAATTCATAACTACATCGACTGATAGCACGCATCCAATCCTTTTTGAAAATTAAAAATAAAAAGATCAAATAGCGAAAGTGTACATAGATAAAACTAAGAAAAATAACTACTTATTTATACATAACTAATAAATGTATATTATGATTTTTTTTCGGGTAGAGTTTTGGAGATTTTGTGCGTTTACACATTTGAAATCATCAATCAATCATTGTGAGACCAACATTAGAAATCTGGAAGCACTGGATGGCCGTTTCGTTCTGGTATGGGACTCATCAGTGTGGCAGTGCGCATCCACGACTCCTGCACCTCGCAGGATTCGAACCCGGGACCTTCGGTATTGTACGCGAACGCCTAACCATCGGATCACTCGACCGGCATCCAACAGTGTTAATGTCTAACTCTGATTGATCTACGGAATTTTGCGCGACCTAACCCATTTGTCTTTGGTCCGATGGTTAGGCGTGATGCACCACCCACCCACCGAACACAATGAATGAGGCTGCACAATATCGTGCATTGATGAAGTTAGACATTAACACAGTTGGATGCCGGCTCAGTGGTCGACAGATTAAGTGTTCGCGAGCAAAGCGAAAGGTTCACGTTTCGATCGCCGCGTCTGTGAAGGTCGTGGCTGGAGGAAAGGGTCTGTTAGTGCTTCTAGGTTTCTAATGGTAACCTAACATTGGTCGATATATGATTTTCCTATGCAAATTCGCACATCTTCATGTTTTAAATTGATTACGGATAAAGAAATTGTGAGCCTCCTAATTACCTTGTAATTAACCCTCATGTTAATTAAGTAATTATAAATGCAGGCGTAAAAAATAAATTGCGTCACGAAGCAAGTCCTAACTAAGAATCCTAAAAAGTCAAATGAAAAAGAGGAAGACCAAGGAACACATTGCATCGGAAATCGATGAACGAAAATAGCATTAGGGAAACAACTCGAAATGTGAACCGAGGACAGAGTTGGCTTTATAATTCTGGTCGGCGGCATATGTTTCACAAGGGGTAAAAGAAGTAAGTTAGTAAGTAAGAAAATATACTGTTTTGTAGAACTGTACTTATT